GGGGAGAAGAGCAATAATAAATGAGACGGGCTAGTGCACACGGGCTAGTCTCCTTCCCAGTTTTCAAGAATATGGGGAGGCAAAAGGCTTCGTCACGGCAATCACTTACTTGTCCCTTGAAGCCCCCAGTGCCAGAACAATGGGATCAGCAATCTCCAGCATGGACTGCAGGATGGATGCAACCACAATGAAGAGAATAATACTGAGCAGGAACGCCCGGTGCACCACCTGCAGCTCGATCAAGCCGGTCTGCACGGCCAGGATCAGGAGCGTGACTCCTTCCGTCATCCCCCTTCGGGCACGCATTTTAAAGGAGAAAAAATGCAAAATTTAGGGCATCACTGGTTTTGCTCCAGCTTTTATATATGCACATCTGGCAACCACTAGAAACCCACACACATTTGCTGCCCTATCACTGCAGTCTGTTTCAATCTTAATTTATTTTCTGCCCTCTAAGAAATGAAACACGGATGTTTGCTTTGAACCCTGCAGTTTATGCTTTGCTGATTTTTCTCTTTAAGTGTGCTGCCAGCTGCGTTCATTCAGAAGGCAGTGCCTTGAAGGGTGGAGATACAGGACAGGTTCAAGATGGCAAACACGGAGCCTGGAAAAGGAGTCTCCTGTAAAGAGCTACCTTTACTCTCTTGGAAACCCAGAGTGAAGTTAGCCAGGCAGGAGCCTGAGCAGCACTGCTCTAACTGCTGCAAGACAAAGCACAGTCTGCCCAGGGCTTCTTCCCAAAGATGCTCCTGTGCCATTTGGGCAGTGCCCCCTTCACACAGACTCCAGCTCCCTACTTCCTATCTCAGAACCTGGTGTCCAAACAACGAGTCTTTCACTTAAGGCTTGAATCAGAGTTTGAACTTCCTGCAGAGGTCGAGCCCACCGCACCACCACCCAGCTCCCACGTGCATGTCAGACAGTCGGGACAAACACCAGAACAACAGGTGGTCTGTCGGCCCTGGGTGGTTCCCACAGTAGCTTTTAGCGGGTCTGTGTAAATATTGTGGTATTTGTAAAGTTCCACAGAAGGGTAGCTTGGTTTCACATGTAGAAACGGGGGACAAACGAGACAGGAAACAGAAGCTGCTACATAAACATTCGGTTCTTCTAAACATTCCTCCAGCGACTCGCCCCGCGTGAAAATGCTGCAGACAGCAGACGAGACTGCCTCAACCCCCAACAGCAGGCGCCCCGTCTTGGTTACAGAACTGAACTGAGCTGAACCCTGCAGAAGGCCTTTTGAACACATTTGCACGGCAGTCCCTCCCCATCAGCACGTATGGACTCATTAATAAAACGCCTGTCAGATTCCCTGTTCGCTCTACAGAATTCGTCGAAAGCCAAGAGACTGCCAGTTCCCAGCCATCGATGTGCTGCCTTCTTAAAAAACACGCTCCCTGGCACTTACCGATTCATAGCGGGGTCATTCATGAACGCTCGGTAGCCCTGCAAGTAGAACTTGCAGAGCGTTAAAACTCCCAAAGCAACAAAGGAGACGGTGAACACGAGGCCCAGCAGTGAGTACGGGGTGCTGCAACATTCTGCAATGCTGTAAGAGGGGGGAAAAAAGATGATTAATATAAGTTTTGTTATCTTTTCAATGAAGAGTATAAGCTGGTTTGGAGAGAAAAAAAATCACAACTCAAGTAATTTAAATGCAACACAGCAAGCTGCACAACTGTGTCCCTTTCTCCTGCAGGGACAGCTACGTAAGACACTAGTCTATTATTTCCTCCTCGCATGCCAGCGGGCTCAAATCACGCTTGCAGGAGATCACCTTACTCTATCACAACTCCATCATCAAGTTACACCCATCAGCTGCATGAGGAAGTCCCTGGGGAAACCCATTGTTCATTCAGCCGGTGCTGCAGGAGCGTGCCACGGGGTGGCACTGTCTTGCTTGTACTTTCTATTAGGAGGAACAATCACTCCGTTTGATTTACTTGCTGACATGACAATCCCGTTACCACACAGAGACATGCGGTTACAGCGGATGGATTTGCTAAGGCAAAGGGCACAACTGAGACTCCCCAAATCTCCATTGTTCTTGTAACCTGTGCATGGAAAGAGTTAGCTGGGAAAGTGCTAGCCTCCGCGCAGGCTGTACTGGGGCAAGTCACTCCTCCCAGCCACGTGCGATATCTCAGGTCCGCTGTATACAAGGCACCTGAATAACCTGAGAACTTTGTTTCAAAGCTGTCAGAGCAGAGCCCCCCGTTACTGGTCCGACGTAACCAAGTCTTCTGGCGGGCTCTATTATAAAGCACCTTTGTCAGAAGGTTAAAACTCTACAGGTAACTTCATTTGGAAGAGCAGCAGAGAGGATTTGCCATGGAAGGGACCCAGAGAAACTTAAAAAGGTCAAAGGAGGAGCTGGAGAACATTCAGAGTCGTACTGAGGCCGCAAGCGTGAGTTTTCATTTCTCGTGACTGCCTGAATCATTGCCACCTGTAAAAACATCTACACAGAGGCAGCATATTGTTGCTTGCTGTGCGTTCATGGCAACTTGATATTGCTATTAAATGCACCGACTGCGCTTGCTTGAATTCTGGAGTTGCACAGCTCTGGGAAATAAGTCATTACAGCAAATAAAAGAGCACACCTGCAGAGAGACTGCTCTCTTCCTTGGCAGAGAAAATCTTTTCCCCACATCTTGCTAAGTAGATCATATTACTGTGAAGTCCTTTGACTGCCTGGAGAATCTTAATCAGCTGGCCTGACAAATAATATTTTACCTTACTTCCCTATCGGTTACTGCCAGAGGTGAGAACTGCTGCTGGAGCTCTCCCTCCAGAAGAGCCCCTGTCCAGCGCTGGGTTTGCTACTGCAGCAATGCAAAGTGTCTTTATCCTTCGCGCCCTGGTACAGCGCTTTCTGAACTCTGTTGCTCTTGCGCCATCAGAGATGACCGCAATGGCCAGAAGGGATCCACAGAAGATGTCCTGAAGAGGACTCAGAGGGGTGAAGGTGGGTCCGTTAAGTTTTGTCCTTCCTTGTTTTGAGCTAAACAGAGAAGCTGAGCAAGTCCCCTTGAGATGGCAGCTGGTTTATCTCCTGCATATCGCTCCACCCCCCTGCTAGGTATAACACTCATTCTGCTGGGTGTGCGTGGATTGATGTGTAAATCACTCACACTCCAGACTCTCCTTCCTGTGGCACAATTCCAGAGAACCAGCAGTGGTCCAGGTTACATGGGGTAAACCTGCACTTTAACCTAAGATCATTTCAACCGCCGATCGTTTTAGCCTGCAGAGATCACCCACCGTTAACACATATTCGCACTTCACTGCAATGTCTGGCACTGGAGATCTGCGGATGTGACAACAGCCACATCCTCTACCAGAGGCACAAGGTTTCACAGCAAATAAATTCCCCTGCCATGTCACGCAAACCTCTGCTCTCTCTGCCTGAAGCCCACACATCACTGGAGCACAGGCCGTGGGACCTGGGACAGCACAGCGCTCCGAGCAGAAGCAACTCAGTTGTGGGAGGGCTGCCATGTCTTTCATTCCCAGGGTCCATCTTCTCTTTGCCTGATGACAAGAGACTCTGAGCAGTGCCCCTTAGGACTAGAACTTTCCAGTTCTTTGCAAACAGCCAATAAAATCCAGAGGCCTTTTATCCTGAAAATGCTTCCACCTCCAGTTTTCATGCCTCCAAGGTGGAGAGTGATCAGATCATTTCACCTTCACTTCTGGCAACTGCCACAGTGTCAGCAGCTACAATCAATACCACAGTCTGAAGCAAAATTAAAACTTCAGGAGAGGAGAAGAGTAAGAGAGAATAGGCAGATTCCAGCCCCGGAGGTTACCTGAAAATTAAGCTAGTCACTGCTGTGAATGCTGCACAGAAAGACAGAACCAGCAGCGTTATCCATTTTACCGAAGAAAGAGAGGAACCTCACACTTCCTCGGTTAACCCTGAAACCAAGGGCTTAAATATGATGATAGACAGAGGGCCCCAACTAGAATGAGACAAAGCCGATGCAGCATCCTATTGACAGAAGCCATGCACTCATTCAGGAACACGAACTCACACACACAAGGGAGTAGGAAGATGCTACTGAATTACCTTGTAAGGAAGAGGAAGAGAAGCCTCTCTCTGGAGGCCGGCTGATCCCGCGTACTGAAATAGGAGTAGATCTGCAGAGCGAACAAGACGAGCCAGAACACCATGAACAGGACGGGGACCACCAGCTGGTTCCAGAGAGACATCCCCAGCGCCAGGAGCCCGTAGACCTCCACCACCTGGGCAAGACAGAGACAAGACCCACTGAGTGCTTATGTCCATAGCCTGCATGTTCAAGGAGGAGCGCTCTTCAATGAGTTTGCAATCAAAGCCACGAACAATGTGTGTGGTATTGGCTACCCTGGAAGGGGGAGGGAAGTTAAACCACAGGCATGGCCTGTTGTACAGTCTGCTTCTTATATCCTTGCTCAAGGGTAACAGAGACTGCAGGTTTCATAAATCCCTGCAACCTTCCCCCCACAACAGCTGCTGCTCAACTAATGAATCATACCCACTCAATACTGTAGCACGGGCACTGCCGTGCTAGTGCACTCAGCTGTTCTGCTGATCGGTGACAAATATGTTATGACTTTGTATTTCTTCTGACCTCCATATAAAGACAGGTGCTAAGTGACTCAGACTTCTATCACAGCGGAGGGCTAAATATCATCAGTTGGTGCGTCTCCTGTTTACCGCTGTTCCCGTCTGGGCAGCAGCTCTTTTTAAGTTTGTACTACTTCCTCTGCAATGTTAATACTAGGGGATTCTGGAGCAGCTCTTGGGAAGCCGTGACTTAGTGGCAGAAGGCTAACACCATGACATCAAAGAGAAATTTGTCTTAGCTTAATATTTCCACAGGTGCTTTTACCTCACTCGAGTATTTTCAGCGGTGTTTCTCATGCCCCAGACAAAAAATGCTATTGTGGCTGTAGAAAGCAATCAGGGCTCATGGTAGAGGTGATATCTTTTATTAGACCAACAAGATTTTTGCAAAAAAAAGTCTTTAATTTCATTGTGGCTGGAGAACACCTACCAGGAAAGATGTATTTGAAGAGCATTACAGAAACAAACTTGCATATCACAAGCGAGTAGGGCAAGATCCAGAGAGGCACCACAGGCACTTACACTGTTGATGTGTTTTGCATGGGACATTCAATGCCTCAATAAGGAGAGGTAAAAACAAACTAGCTCAGTAGGAGTCAGCCCATAGGAAGCGGCTCTGCCCTAGACCCCAAGCAGATGGCAGGGCTTGAGGTGCAGCCTCTGTGTTAGGGTTAAGGCCCCTGTGCATCCTGACCCCAATCATTGCATCTCCGAATCACCCTGGCACAGTGCCCCCCAGGTGCCTCTTGGGTCTCACTCACTGTCATCAGTTTTGAGGACAGGTTTCACAGGCTGCACAAGAAGTTAACGTGTTCACAGGACCCTTTTCCCCACGCTGTAACTGCCACCATACTGGTGAACAGATGACATCCTCCAGGGGAAGAATGGCTCAGGAAATGCAGTCAAGAACTGAGGTGTCTAATACCTTCATTTCACCCAATTTTCTCCCTGCCCCAGAAAGTACTTTGGGCAGTATCAGCATTCCAGCTGTAAGTAGCTCGAGCCAATTATTTGTGACCCCAGCCCTGAATCTGGCCAATGCACAAGTGACGGCAAAGGAGACGCATGATGGGGCAGGTCATGGAGCAGAACGGGAGCAAAATTCCAGCCTGGGGTGAGTGGCATCATCTTCCTTGACTGGTCACGCCAGGTCTGAATTTGGGCCCATCCTTTTTTCCTGATTAATTTCACAAGACTATAAAAAATTCCATGGCAGCGAGGTTAAAAATAAAAGTTAAAAAGGCGTTCTTGTGTTTCCAGCCTGCAGTTAAACGACATAATAATCTGGTCCTCACTGCCTGCACCCATGTTTCAGCCAATTTGCTTCAAATGGTCTTAAAGAGAGTCAGCAACAAATCACATTTCTCTTAGCTCCAGCCAGCTCTCCACTACTCTTGAGCGTAGCCTGGTATAGGTTTAGCAGCATGTTGTAAATACCTTCCTATTTGTCCGACACACACGGGAAGTTATGCCCTGGAGCTGCATATGCATCAGTGGATACCTGGTGTGAGCAGTACTTCTGGAAGAGTCTGCACAAGTACATTTTTCCCCCTCAAGAACTGAATATTAGAACGACAAAAGGAATCAGCAAGTCAAGCCAAAAATCACTTAAATCCAGATCTTTAAGGTGATTAGTAACCAGCCTGATTAATTCCCTGGTTGTTATGTTAGAAGAAGAATAAGCAAAACACACACTTGGGTAGTTTTTCTTTCTGGCACTCAGTTAATTAAAACCACCTCAAGGTGTGTGCTTAAACCCCCTAGTGCCTAAACCGACAGATTAGCTCAGAGCATATTTGTGACTTGGTGCACCTTATGGTGTTGGGTGATCGGGGTTTATAAAAGCAGCTTCCAGTTTGACATGGATTTATGGCTAGCATAGTCAAAAGGGTATTTTATAAGCTGGACTTAGCCCATTGCTTCTTGGCACTGTATGAAGGCGAGCTGAAGAACTCCCTCCCCCTTCCCTGCTCTCTTACTCTTTTTTCTGCCCCCCCTCCATCGAGATATGAACAGCTACAAGCCCCATCTTTTTCATCACGTGAGGGGAAAGAAAGTACTTCCGATTTGCCTTGTGATGGCTCATTTACCCCAATGCCTACACTACCTAGACACGGACTGGGACACTACACAAGTAAAGAACCAAAAGACAGCCTCTTCTCCAAAGAGCAGTAGGATGTTCATAGATTTGCACACACCTGTCACCTACCCACTACGCAGGGTAAGGAGGGCTTTGACAGGTATTTACACGGAGACACTGTGGACCACAGGTGAAAGCAGTTTATTTAAACCTGTCACAAGCAGTGGTGTGAGCTGGCCCTGCGGGTTGACCAGAGGCAAGTGTCAACAAGGGGTGATGGTAGGCAAGGTTATTTGGGTAAATGCGATATCTTTTATTAGACCAACTGAAATAGCTGAGAACATTCTTCTTTGCAAGCTTTCAGGTATAAACACCTTCTGTTAGGCTGAAGAAGTGTCTGCAGTTGGTCTGTGCTCTTCCCGGATGGAACAGAATAGAAGCCAGAGGCCACTATGCAAGAAAGCCAGACAGTGACAATGTACATTGAGGCAGTCAATGGGCGAGAAACAGGTGTGGGGGTGGGAAGGGGAATGTAGACCTGGTGATAAGAAGACAGCTGGTAAATAGTAGAGTGGTTACCTGGGGTATCAGATGTTAGGCAGGTCATATATCTGATGTTTATATTTAGTCCATGAGTTTTTGTATCCAGTAGGTTGATGAAGTGAAGTTCATAGGCTTGTCTGAGAAAGGTGTTTTGTAAATTCCCTTTGAGGATTAGAACTGAGAGATGGGAGTTGTCTCGTGAGAAATGTGTCCCCACAAGTAATTGGGTATTTTTGTCTTTGATGGATTTTCAGTGTGCATTCATTCTGGTGTGCAGTTGTTGTTTGGTTTCTCCCACATGTTTTCCATCAGGGCATTTGGTGCACGGGATGAGATGTATTACATTTCTGGACGTGCAGGTGTAAGATCCAGAGATGACTGTTCTGTTGTGCGGTATATTTATTGTGGGGGTGGTGGAGATGTGTTGGCAGGTTTTACATTTCTTGTCATGGCGTAGTCTGGATCCATTCAGTGAGTTTTGGGCCATAGGAAGTTTGCTTCTGGTGATGAGGTTGGTGAGGGTCAGTGCTCATTTGAAGGCTAGGATGGGTAGTTCTGGGAAGAGCTCTTTAAAAATTGGGTCTCCTTCTAGTATGAGTTGCAATTGTTTGATAATTTTCCATATAGGTTCGAGGGAGGGGTTATACGTCATAACCAGCAGTTCATGAGGGTTTTCTTTTTGTATTGCAGCAATTCTTCACGTGGTATCCAGGTGGCTCTTTCAAAAGTATGATCTCTCTCTCTCTGGAGGAGTGTCCTTGTTGGGTGAAAGCCCTTTTGAGATTTGTGAGGTGATGATCATGGGTATTCTCCTCAGTGCAAATTCGGTGGTACTGGTGGGCTTGGCTGCATATTACAGCTTTCTTGGCGTGTTTAGGCTGATTGCTCATTCTGCACAGATATGTATGTTGGTCCACGGGTGGTTTGTATTTTACCATTCTGGATAGTTAGTGATCATAGTGTCTCAAAAGAAAATGTTGATGCTGCAGTATTCAAGAGAGAGTCTGATGGAGGGGTGATGACTGTTGAATTTCTGATGGAAATCAATCAGAGATTGCAGGTTTTCAGTCTAAATGATGAAGATGTCATCAACATACCTTAAGTATATCACGGGTTTGATGGTGCTGTCCTCAAGGAATTCTTCTTCCAGGGGTCTCATTAATTTTTCCAACTATTCTAGTTGGTCTAATAAAAGATATCAGATTTACCCAAAGAAATCCTCAGACCAACACAGCTACAACCTATACCCCTGAAACAAGGATTTAAGGCACTGTCTCGGTAGCAAAGATATCCTTTTTACTAAACATATTGAATTTTATTAGTAAACGTTAAGAGTCATGAACCAAAAAATGACAAAGCCATGAGGCATATACCGAGTGCCTGAGCGAGGAACCAACGTAAAAGGGATGGGGGTAAGGAGGGGAGTGCAACTAGGTTACTGAAAGTAATACTACAATACTGCATATTGGCATTAACCAGAACTAGATGTTAACACCTAAAACTGAAGCACAGAAGATAATTTGTCATCACTGCTTTTTAGAGCCCTGCACTTACAAAATAAAACTACCCCGCTGGGGGACATGAGATGCCGGTGTGACGCACAACTTACCTGGACAAGCTCTCGGTAGGCAGATTTTGCCAGGTTATACGGCACCAGCAGGTTGGACGCGAGAAAATAGAGAACTTCGAGGCCAGTGAAAATCATGGCAAACTTATTGATGATGACGATGGTTTCCAGCGGGACCAGGCAGAGTCGTGCCAGCAGAGGGAGCATGTGAGCAGAGAAGAGCCAGATCTGTTTGGTTTTCATGACGCAGGAGCACAGCGTGCACACCACCAGCTGACCTAGAAACACAACACGCTGCGTTACAGCCAGTTGCCTGCACTTCCATTTAGCTGCCTGGTAAAGCTCTTAGCAGCACCCAGGACCATTGTGACAGCTATGCTAACTGGAGCGCCTCCGCTATGAAATCAGGACTCCTTTGCCTCTTTGGAAGTTCCTCCAAGACCTTTCTCTCGGGATGCGTGCCAGACGTGATCTCAGCTCCTCACTAGAGAAAGCATCCCAGTGTAAGGGCAGAAGACATGCTCAGTGTGTCAGTTTGCTAGACAGAAGGACCTTGGAGTGAACCTCAGGCCTGCTGGGCAAGTCTACCCTGAGAGCTTCCGGTGAACGTCACCCGCACACGTGTATGTGCTGCTACAGTGAGCTGCTGAAGCCCTGCTCTGCTACCATGCCTCCCCGAGCTAAAAGGAAGAGTAATTAAAAGGTCCCCAGTGGCCTTTAGAGCAATAATATTTACAGAATGAGGAGGCATCTGTCAGCCTGGCCAGCAGCAGAACGGCATCTAGGTCAGCAGCTGAGACTTCGGGAAGTGCCCGAGGGCAGCCACTCACAATTTCCACAGGAGGTGGCAAGTAGCAGATAATTAAGCCAATTAAAACCAACTATGCTCCTGGAACAGTTGGCGTGTCTGCATGCGTGCACAGGTATGAAATCACGCATGCCCCCACCTACATTAACACCATACCTAAGCAGGCCTCGCAGGGTGTTATTTTCATGAGAGCTCATGCTCCACTTTGAATCAGTGGGAGATTTCCAGGGATTTCGCTGGGAGCAGCGCTAGGGCCACACACTGCTTTGGAAAAACTTTGCCTACGACTGCCAAGGGATATCTGACAATTCCAGCTTGTGTATCAAGTCTAGAGGACTTGCTTGGGAGGGAACCCAGCTCCATTCAGTCTGACCTGTACAGGCCATTATTGCTAGCAGAAGTGCCGATACTCATGGCCGGAGCAAGCAGGGATGACTGTGAACATGACAGGCCACGCCACCCTCTTGACTTGAGCTCAACTCAGAGACTGAACTCCAGTTTCTGTTCCACCCCTTCCCTCTCCAGTTGCTTAAACTTTCTCGTTAGACCAAAGCTTTCCACTTTTAGACTCCACTGACTCCGAATGGAAGTGGCTGAACTGCAAGTTCGGGAGAAAAAAAAACAGCTCTCCCCATCCCATGCAGACACCTGCCCATTTCACAGGTCCTGTAAAGACAGGAAAGCCAAGCCAAGTGCAAAGAAAGTGAGCCCAGTATTTTTTTTTTAAAGTGGTGAATATTGAAACGTGGCAGCTTAACATAGGATCTCTCAGCTATAAAAGGATATATCCCACTGCTGGTGAAGTCAGTGGAGCATGTAACTCATGACTGATGATTTCAGCGCTGCTGACTGCATTCACCCTTTTCCTTGCTAACTCATTTCTGCCAGACAGGATATACTTGGCTCACAGCTGCAGCTCTAGCAAAAGCTGAATGAGAACCAGAAGTGAAAAGGCCCCTGGCCACATGAAGCACAATGCCTTTGTTCTGAGGTTGTACCCACTACCAGGGGTGTAACAGTATTCATACAGCCATTTTCTGCCCCAGAATGCATCAAGTTTCATGTACTTTCCAGGGCAGCCACCCCCAGGTCCCAACGGCTGGCCTCGCAAGGCTTCCACCCCTTCAGAGACCCATTTATACCTGCACGTTGCTTTTCTCTGCCCGTATTTTAAGCATGTTTTTCCAGGAGCTAAGCATCAACATTCCCAGTAAACCAGCGTGGTGGACTTGCCACTGGGTGCTGCCTTCCTTAACATCCATGAAAACCAGAACAGACACCCTCCTGGCCCACTCCCCCCAAGTCCCATCTCCGTCACTTTGCTGCTCTCAGCCCCTAACACGTGAACTTTGTTCAGAAATATTTTTTGCAAGAGCCAGAGTTAAAACTGCTTGATTTTCTGTTACTCAAAGGCCTACACAGTTGGTTTGCTTTAATTACCACAACTCAACCCCACTTCACCAAGGGATCCCAAGACCAGTATCAATACACTTACTGGGACTTCAGCAGAGGGGAATTATCACGGTTTTCCATGTGCCACCACTCTGCGCATCCCTGTTCAGCTCACTCCCCGAGAATACCCCACACCTCCTTTCCCACCTTTGCAATCTAAATGCTGATTGAAAGCTGGCAGGTAGGAAGGACAATGGCATGACACTAAAATAAATAAGTGGGGCGCTTTATCTCAAGCCAATTCTCAGCCCCCTCAGAGACAATCTGCAAAAGTGTCCCTTACTGTAACGAAAGGTGCCGCACAGGCAGCAGACACAGATCTCCCCGCAAGAGTCTAAATTTGCCTGCCCAAGTTCTAACTTGGGGAGGTGGGTTGCCTGATAAAAACCACTAAAAACATACAGTAATTCCATCATCAGTCTAGAAGGGAACTCCTGAATGTCAAAACACTGAAGAACGAAGCAGGCTTAATTACTTGCTAACCTTAAACCCACTCACCTACCTGTGTGCTGAAAATGAGAAGCCACTGATTGAATGCTGCGCTAATCTGATGCTTATAAAAGCTCTGCAAGGGAAATTTTCCTGCAGAAAATAAACACTTTGCAGGGGAAAAGTCTGGGAAGGAGCCTGGCTCCAGTGATTCTCCTGAGCTCCAAAACCACAAAAACTTTGCCCTCTTCAAGAACTCTGTATACACTGACCAGGGCTGCTGAGCGCCCAAAACCTCCTAGCTCACAACCCACTGGAAAATTTGGTGCAAGTAGGAAGAAGTGGTCAAGTTTTCCTCCGAATCATTCTTAATATGGGATGGGACTCTCTTTGTTTTATTCCCCTTCCAAAAAGCTGATGCTAACAAATTCTCCCTGGTTACCACACCAACCACGGTACGAGAGCCGCGAGGGTTTAAAGTCCGTGCCTGCTGCTGGGGTTACATCTTAAGGGCGGTCTTGTGGGTGGCATATTTTCCAAACCCACATCGCTTTGGAACTTTCCCAGCTAACACGCTGACAAGACAGCACACTGATAGACAAGAGGCAACCCTCAAATCATCCCTGGCAGACTTGGAGCGTGTTAGTGATCCCAGGCCGCAGCAGTCAGACTGAGTCACAGACGTGTAGAGAGAAATGAGCACTGAAGGCCCCTTTCCAAAAGCTGCAGTCCAGAGCACCAAAATACCTCTAAATAACACAGCTCAGGGTAGATCAGATTACGAGCTATGCAGAGCAAAGATCATGCCTGGCACAGATGACCTCCCCTTACTTGTCATCCCTCCCAGCCCTGACCGACGCTACTGCAGCCATGTGAACAAGGGAATATAGCTGAAAATCTTCCATTAAAAGAAGAAAAAAAATGCATCTGAAGCAGTCAAACTCATGCCAGACTGAATCAAGGGATGGAGCTGGACAGGTCTCAGTGGTGGTGGGAGATGACAGAACAAGGAGCAATGGGCTCAAGCTGCAGCAAGGGAAGTTGATGTTGGATATTAGGAAAAACTCTCTCACTAAGAGGGTGGTGAAACACTGAAACAAGTTACCCAGAGAGGTGGTGGCATCTCCATCCTCAGAGATGTTTAGGACACAGCTAGACAAAGCCTTGTCTGGGATGATGTAGTTGGGGCTGGTCCTGCTTGGAGCAGGGGGTTGGACTAGATGTGACCTGAGGTCCCTTCCAGCCTGAATTTTCTGTGATATTACTGTTACTGATGCTGAATTTCATCTGCCATAACCAATTTGCGTGGGGAATGATGGAGCCAGGGACCCATGTTTTCACCTTGTGGGAGCACAGCAAGTTCTTCAGTCAGGGCATGTGATGCTTGTTTAAATCTTTTAGAAGATAACATTGTGAAATTCTCTGACACACTCACTTGATACTGGTGAGGTTACACCTTACAACCCACTGGAACAGCTTTTGTCGGGGAGGAGGTTGTGTCCTCTCAGAGGGTGTTTTTTTGTTAAACAACAGGAAGAGAAAAGTACCAGTAAATACTCTGGGGCAGGAGCAATTAGGTGCTGAACTGTTTAAGAGAAGGACTTAAGCATTGGCTCTTTTATATTAGCTTCCTTTCCCCTGCTCTTCCTGCATTCCTGAAGGCAGGCCAAGTCTGTTAGCCTGATAGGGCAGTAAAGCCAAAGTACGAATGAATAAAGCAAATGGCAATGATTTGTTACTGACTGACATGGAGAGACACATTGGCCGACGAAAACAGTTTCGACTCCTGGTTCAGTGTCCACGTAAGTGCTGCTGAATGACCCACGCAAGTTTGATTCGCTCCCTCTAGCCTGCTTGCGACTTAAAATATCTGCCTGGCTGTACTTAGCCACCTGTACCTGGCAGGACTTGGGCAGAAGTATTCATTAGCTAACTCTAGCTGTTCTCTCTCGGAAGTGCGATAAAGGGCTCAACCACATTTTGGTAACAGTTACCAGGAAATGGAAAGAAAAGGCTGCTTTGGATGATACACACAGTCTCTGGACCACCTTGCCATAGAAGATAAAACTTAAGAAGGTAAGAATCACATGGTGACTTCAGCCCAGCAATCCTAACATCATAATTTTGTTTGGAGCAGGAATAATTTAGGAAATTCAAAACATGGATAGATAAAAATGAACTGTTTAATCCTGAAAAGGAGAAAGGGCACGAGAAAGAAAAGATACATTTCGCTCTGACAGGTTTAGTGGTATTTCTATAAGAAACCCAAAGGAAGAAAGAGTCCTGTCTACAAGTTATAACCAAAGCACAAGAGTGCATGCATGTATCCTGCTAACTTTAGCATTCTACAAAAAGCCAGCCTCAGTTCTCGCTGTACGTCGTAGCAGCGGCAACCAGAAAGGAAGCAGCTGAATCCATAAACAGTACGTGGCTGGCTGCATGCAGTTTTCAATCATTTCAGAGAACCCACAGACCTCAGCAAGAGGAGCTGAGGATCTGTCTTGTGAGATTTTGGACTTTATCATCACTGAATGTATGTGTAAATATTTACCCATCCTCCCACTAGCACAGAGCAGGGCTCACACCTTGACAATTACCACGTTCTTTTCCAAAGTTCATCACACGGGGGTGGGGGGAGTGACATGAAGCCAGTTCTGGGAGAGAAGGATCTTTAGATGCTCCAGAGCACTTCTAAGAACTCATACCAAAAGAGCTGTTGAGCGTGGACTAGGTTTAAATCGCAGGGAAATTGTAATCCTGAAAATCAACGTGCTCAATAAAGCTCAGGTGCACACACCTGCATGGCAGAAAGCCTCTCTCTCTCTCTCTCACCATCTCGGTGTCCCTGGCTATGTAAAATGGGGATATTTACCTAACCCAAATAACTGCTGAGAATAAACTCTTTCTTGTTCTGTGCTTTTAAAGTGAAAAAAGCCCGTTAGGGCTTGTCAGTATTAGAATCCCTGTAGTGCTTTCAACCTGAGGAACTCAAAATGTGCTTACTGCTATATTCCAGACGCAGCACAGACGCTTTAAACCAGGGCCAAAGAGCCTATCAGTGAGACACGAGGGGGGAAGGAACTACTTTAGTAAGTGCCGTAGTAAAGTCTGCAAATACTGAAACATTCTGCATTGTGAATTAGATCTGAATGGGACAGTGTTGCAATGCCAGCAAGTGTCGTCCTCCACGCCACCCTGGCTGTTGAGGACTAAAGACCTTCAGAATCTTCCCTCCTTCTTCAGCACTTTGTTTCTGGGGGTCTTAGAAGATGTCAGAGGCAAAGATTTGCTTTTAAACTTAACACATACCATCCCAGCATCTGCAGGAAACAAACCATTGTAAAGGAAATGTTAGCTGCCATGCAATTTTCCAGCTGGACTATCCATAGCATCCTGAATGCATGAGTTAAACCTATTTCTATTGTTACACATAAAAAAATATTGTAATTTCTAATCAAAAGTGCAAAGCAAAACTTACCTGACAGGCTCATCCAACACAAAAAAAAAAAAAGCAGCTGAAACCAGCAAATACTTAATTCTAGCATTTCAAAAACCCCACACAAAATTAGTTCAGCTCCATAAGAAAAATTATATATTGGTAAAGCTGTGGTATATAAATCCTGCAAACAGGGAATTGCAAGAGAAGGTAGCATAGACCCAACCCTCTCTATGGAGGAGTATACGCATCATTGCTATAATAGCAAGAACAATTCAGGACCCAGACATTGAAAATGCACAGGTAGAAAAGATTAAGGTAACTACTTACTCCTCCCAGTCAGACCTTTATCTGCACTTACCTATTAAGGCGGTCATGAAACGGTTCATGGAGAGAGGTTCTAAATACATTGGCCCTTCGTACCCAGATTCCAGTTCACTCCTAACATAATCCCTAAAGAACAAAAGAAAACACACAAAAACATTAAGATACAGGTGGCCCGAATTGAAAGGAACATACCTGGTCTCGCACACACACTTCTCTAACGCACCCTGCATTTGATGGACACATATAAAGGGGACGATGGTGTCAACCCATGTAATCACTGTATCAAAAGGGTCATTTTGCTTGACACAGCTGTCTGCACAAACATTTGAAAAAAGCCGAATCTCTTGCAGAAAAACTGTGCAGCAAGGAAGGCTGGGGAAGCAGGGGTGGGGTGGGGAGAGGGGAACCATTCTTTAGTCATTAGCGAATGATGCGTCTGGTTCAGCAACCGCACTTCAAGTAGGCTCCAGTAGACACTGCAATAGATGCAGGGACCTTGGCACAAAGCATCGAGTCCGTCCAAGTAACGGGATGGACTGGAACAATGCAGCAGTGATTCTCTAGTCCAGGCAAAGCAAACTGTTTATGATGGATAACAGCACCCAACCAGGCTCAGGGGAAAGGGCTTTCCCTCACTTAAAGGCAGACCACAGCATATGACTCAGTGCTAAGTTAGCCAGCTGCTTCTTCCCAGATACATCCTAGGATCCCAGCTTGTGCCAGCCACATGTGAAAAAAGCCCAAATGTATCTCTAGCCCTACCTGAAAGCCAGTTACCTTTCCCAACCACAGCAATTCACCTGCTCATTTACAGAAGTCTCTGGAATTCAGACATCAATCTCAATCTACTCAAGCAAACACTTCAAACGCCCGTTCTGGGCACCCAACAGCTCTGCCTACTCACAGCAGGTTTTCAAGTGTTACAAGACATGCAAGGTATGCTGGTCAGGGGCCTCTTTATACTGTAACCTGTAATTAAAGTGCATGAGAAAAGAGGAGCAATTTCTTCCTCTTGCCTCAACATCTATTGCATACAATGCCTTTTTCTCTCTCCAGCATCCAGAACTAGCCTGGAGCTAGACCAGCGGTTCCCAAACTCTGACAGGTTGCACACCACAAATTTAAAACTATATGACCTTACGTACCACCAGCAAATTTTTCAGTTCACCCTTAAGTACCACCAGTAAAATTTTGTCCTGTAAAGTAATTATAATAAATCTGTTAACGTGTACCATTGACAAGATGTCTGCATACCACTGGTAGTACCTGTACCACGGATTGGGAACCGCTGAGCTAGACTGCCCTCAGTGACTGGAGCTGGACTCTTCTCAGTGGGGGCAGACGACAGGACAAGGACCAATGGGCTCAAGCTGCAGCAAGGGAGGTTTAGGTTGGATACTAGGACAAATTCTCTCACTAGGAGGGTGGTGAAGTGCTGGAACAGGTTACCCAGAGAGGTGGTAGCATCTCCATGCTTGGGAGGTTTTGAAGACCCAGGTAGACAAAGCCTTGGCTGGGATGATGTAGTTGGGGCTGGTCCTGCTTGGAGCAGGGGGTCGGACTAGATGCGACCTCCTGAGGTCCCTTCAACCCTCCTTGTCTATGAGTCTATGATCCAGCGCGCTGTAATTCTGACAAGTATTATTCCTTTGTTTTTTATGTGAACCATCAAAAGATTCAAAACACCTCGCGCCTCCAGCTGAGTACAACCCATTAGAGCTCAAAACAACATCTCTAGCGGTTTGCTTCTTTCATTGTTGTTTTTTTGAACTTGCCAAACTGCAATTGAAAAATTTCTTGCTATTAGAAACAATATGCTCTAATTTGAATCCACGTGGACTATTTCTAAAGAGTCAAGAGCACGGCAGTTCCTGGTGCACCTATTAGGCAACAGATCGCGTCACAAGACAGCCTTATGCAACACAGTTCAGATGCACCCACGAAGACGCCGGTGTGAGATGCCTGCGTAGTTCCTATGTCACCTGCAGCCAGCGAGGCTCGTCCCCAACGCATAGGACCATCAAAAGGAAGGAACCGCCACTTTCCTGAGAGCAACTTGCTCCAGATGTTATTGAAGGCATCACAGCAGGCAGGCCGGGCTGAAGCGGAGCTTTCTGAATAGCAGCCTTCAATGGAAGCATACAAATCCCTTGTGATCCCATGCCAGGGGAACAGAAGAGCAGAAGCCACAATCTTCCCTGGGCTCCTGCACTGTTTGGAGACAGCGACAGTAAAAGGCTCCAAAACAGGGAGGAGGTGCCCACTGGCACAGGCACCCCATGAGAAGCCAGAGTGACTGTATGTTAAAAAGCCGCTGTCTCTTCTTTGAGCATAATCGGCATGAATCCTACCGGAGGACTGGCCAGGAGCCTTCAGGATGGTGGGAACGCATGTCAGCGGCACCAGACGGTCACTGTGGAGTGCTCTCCCCGACCGCTCTGCTCAGCCAAAGGCACACGGTGCCTGGCAGAAGTCCGGGGGCTCACTCCACACCGCGGCCTTGCAGGCTTCTGAGGCAGATGCTCACACTTCGTTAGAAAACAAGGACGGGGCCGGATCTGCGATCGGCTGAGCTTTGGGGTTCAGTGCCGGAGAAAGCGGCCAAGTTGTAATGCAGCGAGATGCATTGTGTTGTCTCTTTTGATCCCGCTGTGCCATGAGAAATTAGAAATCCAGACGACAGTGTCAGGAACGTACGGAGGTGATGTGGATCTCGCCCCCGGTCTGGCTCATCCTCAGGTTTCTGCACCAAGGTCTCTTGCTCCTAGCTGCAATTGAGAGCTCCACATCTCTGTGCTGGAAGAAGCCACTTCTGTTCTCCAGTTACAACCTCCCTTCCATTCGGGAGCTGCGTTTGAGCCTGGGCACGTCTCCTTTTTGCGTGGGGACAGCAAAGGAGGACCATCACCTGGGGCACCAAGGACTTCACTGATGCTGGAGGTGGTGGGCGCTGGAGCCTGCCAGCACGCTCTTCACTGTCCTTCCACTTGCTGACCCCAGATCTCATTTGTGCCTGGGATGTGCAATTGCATCAGACAGCGAGAGCACCATTAGGGACTCCACAATCACAACGCAGAGCAACTCACTTCGCCTCCTTACGTCAGGCTGCAGCAAAGAATCTGCTTACTAAAATCCTGGAGACACCCCAACCCCCACTTTCCGGAGACACACAAGGCACTTCTTCACTGACTCATCAACCAAAGACCCACGCGGACTCTGCTACTGGTCACCTCCACAGGAGACGCCGTCACATTGTGGTGAGCAGAACGGGAACAAGATGCTTCTTCCTCATCGGGCAGCCTCACGAGAGACTCAGACAACCTTGCCATCTCTGGGGCGAGCTCAGTTTCGGACACGGGGAGGGGTCAAGGGCACAGTGACGTGAAGGTTCGGGAACAGCCCTTTGTGTGGCAGCAGTGGGGTCAACTAGCACCCAACTATCAGATGGCTGCTCCCATTCTGCTGGGTTATCGGGAGCGGGTCCCAGACGCTTCACTGCTGACCTCGGGTTTACTGAACAGCTGCAACACATGCCCCTTTTGACCTCTTTGCCTCATACAACCTCTGTTCTTCTCACCCTGCCTTCAGCATTTCAAATCCTTCCACCTCGGCCGTCTTTACCATGACCCAAGAGAGGTAGTTAGCAGTGCTGGTATGAAGTCAGGCAGAAGGCAGGGTAGATTTGCACCTTATAGACTGACTAAATGAGAGATGTATATAGCATGAGCTTCCGTGAGCCCAAGCTCACTTCAGATGCTGTGAAAAGTTAAGTCTACAAGGAGCAGCTTCACGTGGCCTCCTTCTGTCATGACTGACTTCACAGTACCCTCTGGACTGTTCAAGCAGAAATCATAGAAATCACAGACAAGGAGGGCTGGAAGGGACCCCAGGAGGTCGCATCTAATCCAATCCCCTGCTCAAGGCAGAACAAGCCCCAACTACAACATCCCAGCCAAGGCTGTCTACCCAGCTCTTCAAAACCTCCAAGGACGGAGACTGCACCACCTCTCTGGGTAACCTGTTCCAGTGCTTCACCACCCTCCTCGTGAGAAAATTAATCCTAATATCCAACCTCAACCTCCCTTGCTGCAACGTGAGCCCGCTGCTCCTTGTCCTGCCATCTGCCCCCACTGAGACCAGCCCAGCTCCATCCTCTGTGCAGCCCCCCTGCAGGGAGGTGAAGGCTGCTGTTCAATCCCCCTCGGTCTTCTCTTCTGCAGACTCAATCAGCCCAGTTCCCTCCACCTCTCCTCACAAGTCGTGTGCCCCAGCCCCTGAATCATTTTTGTTGCCCTCATTTAAGCCATAAGCATCTCCAATCTTCGAGTCCTGGAGGAACAGGACTGCTGCACAGAGTACTTGTCCAGGAGGTGAGAATCCCTTGACGGCTATCAGTCCATCGCAGGGCAGGCCAAAACTTGAACCCTGAAGGCTTGAAGCTGGTTATGAGCTGTGGCACGGGGCAAAACACTCTGCCTTGTTCTACAGAGCGGGTTCCTCAAGTATCTTCTTTTCTAAAGGATTATCTTTGTTTGGACTGTGAAGATAAGATCTCTTCACAAACGTCGCTGAATACTGAATATTCAGACAATAATGAATTAGAGAAGAGACCATCTGGATTCACCTCTTTGCCCCAGCACTTAGAAGGAACTGAGGACGCCCCTCTGACTGCTCTGCCTTGGCACAGGCGCATCAGCAAGCATCGGATGTATGCACCACCCTGGACCGTGCTATTCCCAAGACTGATCTCATGAGTCCCAGAGGCACGTGCACCTGCACTGGGGAATGAAGCATTCAGTTTTCTCCACTGCAGCAACATTTGAAGGAAAAGAAGTTATCATGAGAACAAACAGGTCTGTAATGCAGCAAACCCTAGAAGCCCAGCAGACTTTGTTGTTAACAGCACTGGAAGGTTAGTATTACCCTAATTGCTCGTTCAGATAAGAGAATCGATGCTGTGAATTTTCACTATTACATTGGCAGCGCAAGGAAGATGATCTTTTGGCAGAGACACCAGTTAGAAGATGCCTGGAACAGCTGCAGTGCCACACGAAGATGCTGACAGGAGCGCATGTGCACGCTCAATTCTGATCCATTAGAGCTGTATTAAGTGCCCGCTTTTACACTGCAGACCAGTTCACTTGACTTAAACAGCATAAGAAAACGAAAGACCAAAACCATTATTTTCTGGGTAATTAAATAACTCTTAAATGGTGTTTCTACTTTACAAAATTAGGACATAAAAATAAAGCTAATATCAGACTGCCAGATTTTCTGTGGCTGGGAGCGCAGTTCTAGGGATATCATTGTGCCGTCAACCTCAAAAAATAACAGCTGTCAGCAACAGCTAAGCTAACTTATATTTCTAAACCAAGGTATACGTCTGACAGGGCTTGATATGCGAGGGATTTTTACATTACTGCAAAGGCAAGAAAGCTTTCCCTATTTACAAAAGGTGCTTTGTAACCAGCTGCCTCAAGACTGCAGTTATTTGGCCCAACTGTGTCAGGCCACTGGCATCTACTCTGGCTGGCCAGGCGCGTCACCCAACATCGAGCAAGCGCACCAGAAACAGAATTAACTCACACGTCACTGGACATCCTCCTATTACAAATAATACTTTAAAAAAGTAGCCAAAACAAATGGCTCCCTCTAAGTCTCCCCCCTGCGCGGGAACCCTCTTAATTCTAAAAACTCTGCCAAATGCAAGATACGGCCACAGGCCAACAGGAAGACAAGCAGCTAGAAATGATGCTCCGTTCATTTCTACAGCATAACTACACATTGTTCTCCAGTGTTGCTCACTCCCATTTCCAGTAAAGAGAACATCAGGTCGTGGTTAGGAGAGAGCGCTTGTGCAACTACACGTATAATACTGGAACATGCTCTCAAGGCGGCCCACCTGAATTTCGACTTGCCTTTGCTCCTTAGAGCCCACGTAACATTCTCACTGGCCATGTCTCTCTGCGTCAGATATCCTACATTTGGACTAATCAGTTCTTTCAGGGGTTCTCCAAATGCTTTACAGAACGTTAGCCAATGAATCCTCAATATCCCTGTTACTGCTGCTCCCATTTTACAGATGGGGAAACCGAGGCAGTGAAAAGTGAAGTGACCAACCCTAAAAATCACACAAAACGTGGAAACCTGAAACCAGAGGCCGACAGAAACGCCAGACCTCCTGACCCCTAATCCTCAGAATAACTTGTGGTTTAAGGCACAAAGTGAAACAGCAACACTGGAAGCCAAAGACAGTCGGTGATTCAAGCCTCCTAACAGCTTTCAGTGTCTCAAGTGCCAGCAGATATCAGTCTTGAAGCCCCATATTCCAAGGTATTGTGCATGAGCGGCACCAAGTTCATAGGTCTCTAGTGTTACCTCGTTACTCACCTGGAACATCCTGCCAGCTAACAAGCTACTGTGCCTGCAGTACTGAGAGCTTTCAGCTGCACTGAGTATTCAGAGGAGCAGCTTGCAAATTGTGAACCATAAAAAACAATCAGAACATCGCCACAACACCTGTGGCACAGAGCATATCTGTACGTTAGCCCCACTTCAATGATTAAAGGGCCTTGATGAGACCCTCACCAATTTGGAAACTCTCTTGGGTTTGGCCAAGAATGGCTCTTCCTTTATTACTCCCATCCCCAGCTACTGGGGGAGCCTCTCTCCCCTCACGGAGGACAAGGCCACACGTCTTCCAACAGACCAGTCAGTGCTGCTCTGTGGGGATGGACCAGTTCCCCCAGAGAATTTCATCATGAGACGCATCTATTCTACCAGCAACCGAGGACCCAAACCAGGATCAAGTGGCAGGATTCTGGCCATTTATTTATCACTTAAACTAACCACTAAATTTAGGAAAAGTGCAGTCCTACAGTTAACTGGAACTGCTGGTAACTGACTGGTGAGGAACGCTGTATAGACGCAAGGGGCTTGGTGTCATTACACCAACAGTGCGAGCAACGTGGTAACCCTGCGACAGCGCCCATTCACCATGCCATTTACAATGCAACAACGGTTAAAACTCACATTCAAATGAGAATGAATTCAAGTCAGGATTAAAATCAAGCTCCAGATCAATCCAGGCAAGTTATGTCCCCCTTTCTGACTCTCCTTTCAGGGTAGGAGTCAAAACCCCAGAGCAGGGTGGATAAAAATATTTTTTTTAAATAAAAAAAATTTTTTTTTGTATTTAAATCAGATATTTTTGATGTAATCGTATTTTTTAAGATGCTTTTTTTTAAAAGATAAACTTATATAAAGACAGTTTTAATTTAAGAGATGTTAAAGCTCAAAGATATCATCATGGAATTGAGATTATAACTTCTAATTATCTACTGTTTGAGACAGTATAATCATGTAAACGTTTAGAGAAGTTTTTATAAATAGGATACAACAGGCCATGGACTATATTAGGGGCCCAATCTGATAGGGTTCCCAGAGGCTCCTCTATAGATTAGTAAAGATTAAAGAAAACCACTCTACTCAATGGGACTCAATGTTCAGGCCAGAAGATCCCAGTGGGCGTCTCTGGGATGCTTAGTTTCAGTTCTCAGACTGTGGGTTTGTGCCTCCAGAGGTAACATCCTTGTTCACAGCAGTACGTGGAGACGAGAGAGAACAGCCCTGATTACCCACCCAGCAGCCCTCCTGTCTCTCTGCAAGTTTGCATACACAGTCAAGCCCTCACCTCTCTCTCAAAGTGCAGTTTCAAGAAGTTAAATGAATAGAGGATATCAAACAACAAGAATGCACTTTTTGTAGAAAACAATGATTAAATCAAGGCTTTCTGACCAATGATTTAAATCAATTTGATTTAAATCGCCCTTCCCCAGGGGTTGGCTTTCAGTGTTGTAGCTCGACGTGCCCATCTGTCATGGCAAAACTCATTACCAACCACAAAGTTTAAACCATGAGTTCTTAGAACTGGGTGTCCAACAAGTCAAAATCGGAGCCTCTAAAATCCTAGGACAAAACTCTCACAACCTGTAGCTATAAAAGCTCAGGGGCTCCCAGGGGAATCCTTGGGAAGCCTCTTTCCTGCCTACCCAGGAAATACATACTGCCATAATTCTTCCCTTCACCCTTTCAGGAAACCATTAAGAGGAGCCCTGACAGCCACAGTATCAACACAGCTCTCTTACCACAAAAATCTGTTTACATTTCCCTCTGCTGCAACAGAGTAAGCAAAAGACATTTCAAAGCACTTGCTGAAACATTTTTTTTTCTATGCCATTTTCAAACCGATCACTTAGTGCAAGCTGATTTAACACAGTGCTTTAAAACATTTCCCACTGCTGGGTTCCAAGATAACACGGCCCAATTCTGCACAAAGTTTCTGAAGCAAGTACACCAAAGAGATGCCTTTCCCTGGCTGGGCTCCAAGCCTGTGGTTAAGTGAAAGCAAGCTTGCTTTCATTTGGGCTTACTGTATTCAGCAACACCCAAAGAACAAACAAAGGTTACTTACCTGGTGCAGTTATATTGTCACAGCACTCTTTACTGTCTGCCGCTTTACATTTTGAAACCAACCCATAATTGCTTTTGTTTTTACTACTGCAATATTTCTTATCAGAACTACTGACTTATGGACGCTTCCAGGCTCTTTATTCCAGTTTCCCTTGCATGCAGCCACCAGACAGGAAAAGTGTTTTTCCTTCCAATAAAATACTTTGGAAACTCAGAGAAGTGCTACAGCTCTGCTGGCTTACCAGTTTCTACTGCCAGATTCAGACCAGATTTAGCTGCACTGTGGACGTTTTCTCTTCTTGGTCCAAGAGGCATTGCATGCATCAAAAAAGCAGTGCATTTTCCTCTTCAGAAAGAAGTTTCCCTCGTGCTGCAAATAATATGCTTTATGACCCTGAGCCAACCCCTTAAGTCGATAGAGAGGTTCCCGCTACGTTCAGTGAGTTGGATCAGACTGTGCACACCTTTCAGAGGCAGTGCACAGTCACTGTAAACTGATTTGCAAAACAGGGATACATTCCTGACAGCTAATGGGGAGGAAACAGCAAACAAAGCAAACTACAACCCCCCCAAAACAACAAGGAAACAAACCCAGACTTCCCTTCTGCTTGTAGTTGCTACTGGCAAAAAAAAATCATGAAATGAATTTGCAATTCTTAAAACCAAGTCATCTGAAGAATTTCACATGTTCCTACCTGGAGATCTGGTGCCCAGCATACAGCAGCATCGCTGTCAGAAAGTACAGGTAGAGCTGAACCAGGTGTTGCCTCGGTAGGGTCAGGAGCACAACACTCAAGATGTAACCTGGAGCAGAAAGGAAACAGAAGCAGAAATGAAACCTTCCAGTGCTGGTTTTAGAAAGCAAGATCAAGACTCATATTGTTCATAATTAACACAACTGAAATCCCTCTGGTCTCTCTCTCTCTCTCCCTCAACTCCATGCAGCTGCATTACCTCTTCAACATCCCTGAAGTGCATCTGCCCCATCCACGAGAAAGGAAAAAACCACATGGCTTGCAAATGTGGGCACAGGCCTAGTGGCTTCAGTCAGACTGAACCGGTCAGAAGAGGAACAGACCCAGAATGTTTCAACAAGAGTAGAGGGGACTGCAAGACCTGAAAAAAGAAAAAGGCCCTTGTGCCTGGTCTTCCCTCTTCCCTGAAGCACCTGGAAGAAGTGAAAATAACTTTCTGAATTAGCCTAAGCAACAAGAGGGAAATCACCTGCCTGGCCTGTCTACCCAACGCGTTCAAAACCACACAGGCACACCAGTGTGAGAGCCCTTAAAGACAACATGCCTAAAACCTATATATGCATTAACTGAACTGCACTGTTATTTCAGTGTTCTCCCACGACCCATCTTCAAGGCAGAGAGGCCTGCTGAACAGCACTGCTTGAGACCGATCTCATTTCGCCCCTTCTCCGCACTGCTGGAACCTGCTTCTGTGCCAGCAGTCGACGCAACATCAAGCTCTTCTGGAGCAAGCGGCAACTTTCATTGCCTGCACTTGCCTGTGGCCCTGGCAGCTACTTCAAAGGCTGACTAGCATTCGCTTAAACTGGGAAAAATCCCCCAGGGCAGACATGACTTCGTTCTTCACGAACACAGCTTGGCTAGTCGCTCTCAAAAGAACAAACTCTGGTCCTTCCCTTCGCACCTCTCTCCATTACAATGCCTACATAGAGCCAAGTTGGGAAGCTGCTTCTCACAATTCAGCTCAAAGTACCCATGCTGGCACCACCCACAGACATACAGAGGGCACAACACAGGCCAGGCTTGTTCTTCCGTCCGATCTCTCTGTCCTGGAATTGGCATTGATGATGCTCATTTCAAAGGTTACTAACTTAAGTGCCAGTGCAGTGGAGTCCATTCAGAGAAACCCATCACCAACAAAGGATTTCCCATCAGCTAAACGGAAAAAAAAACTCTTTATGGACGGGTTCATTGTACACAAAATCACAGACCTGCTGCAAATCTCACTTGCTTACAATATGATCCATCCACTCAGCTCTGTGGCAAGTTGGTCACCACCTTTTAACTGGAGCAGATTTTTGCAGACTGAGTGGTGTGTTATTAGGCTGCTTAGCGTCGAGACATCACAGAGCTTCTGGAACAAACATCCTGTAATACCTTGCATCAACAGCAGCACAATTATCTACTGTAAAGCCACCCAGAAACACATCCTGCCCTGCTATCATAAACTAAGGCAAATGTTTATGTAAGGGTAGTCCAACTCGTTCAACTGCCCACTGCTTAAGTCTTTTCAACCCCTAGTGCTTCATCTCTATAAAATGACATTAACAGTAAACCCATTGAAGAGTGCTGGAAATTTGCCCACCATTTTTTTTTTTTAGGGGGAAAAACTGCTTCACGCCCCCAAAAAACACCCCAGCAATCAATCGTCCATTCAGGCATGTAAAACTTCCTTATTCTGGGTAAAGACAAGCAAATAAAAGCCACCTTGAAAAACTGTGCGTGTGTCTTATATACACACACATATATGTATGTTTACATACACACACAGACACGCATATGTACACACACACATATTTACGATTATATCAGCAATTCACCATAATTTTCCACACGTTCATCAAAAACCTGAACTCATCATAAGTTAGACATTTATCTATTTGTCTTTCCCAAAGTCTGAAGCATGGATCATATTCCCTGCTAAAGAAAGAGAAACTCCCATGAATTTCCATAAAGCCCTTGGATTTTTCCCTCTTTCTCTGAGCTTGAAGTTTAATTTAATTAAATTATTGAATGGAGCCTGAGGTCTAGCACTATAACGTTTGCTTATAGCAATTAAGATGCTTTGTGTGAACCACATACTTCTAATTAATAAAGCAAACAGATGTTCACATTTTTTGTCTATTCTTTAGCTAAGTAGCAAACAAGGATTTGATGGGGTTTATTGCTTGCTTCCTTCTTTCCCAACAAACATATGAGCAGCAACCACAAGAACGGCTGGGCAGTGTTGTCCCTTAAAGGCAGAGCAGGCCCTTAACTAGTTTGCTTCACCCCATCCAGAACCAGCTAACAGAGAAGGGTCATGGTATTTGGCATGCAACATCCCAGGCCCCAGAGCAAACATCTATATAGCTATATCTATCTATCTTTAGCTAGATATAGATATCCATACATCCATATCTATATCTAGCGATCGATCGATCGATATCTATGCATCTTTAGCTAAATATAGATATCTACGTAACTATATCCATCTATCATTATATGGTACCTGCTGAGACGCAACTAAGCATCTCTATAACACTGGACTGGACCAATTCTCAGAGGAAAGGTGTATCAGTAGGTATGGAACATGGTACGCAGAGGATGCAGCCTCTGAATCAGAGCATCCTAAACGCTAGAAGCTCCAGTGGAAGAGAGGCAGAGGATAGAAGATTTTGGACATGCCCATTTCATCCTCCCCTTCACTATCTGCTCTCTGTGAGAAACGGGCCTACTTGTTATATAGGCCCACCCAGGACTACAAGCCTCCTCCGCCCCCAGTGCCTAGACCACTAAATGTACAACAACTAATTCTGCAGTACAAACCATAAGTAGGACAAGCGGATCTATAGTCTGACCCAGAAAATGGCATTTATTTCTTTTGTTTGAGCAGATGCAAGTTTCAGGAGCAGATCTGAAGATCAAGGAAGGACATACCCTTACTAAAAATGCAAGCAAATTAAAAACATGACATCAGCTGCTAAAAAGATCAGGGGGCAGGCAGGCTGTACAGCTAGAAGTTCGTTTGGGCTGTTTACACGTGATCGACTTCTTCCACATCAGCAAGCCCTTCCTAAAGTTGCTGTGCATAATTATTTATTCAGCACTAAACAGTGAAACCCAAAAATAAAGTTTGGCATCGCTGTAGCAAACCAGAATCTTACAACAAACCTTCTCAAGCCTCAGCCTCCTTGGCAGGCCAGACAACACTTGGCACCTCCAACGTTTGCCACCTTCTCATGACCTCCCAACTTCGGAGCTGCTCTTTCACTGGTGCTGCCCAGTCAGACAACACACACCTGTCCTGCAGCTATCTCCTGTTCAAGTTTCAGTTTAAATCCTGCCTTTTACTTTAGCCTAAGCCAGGTTTGGTTTTTCCCTTCACCTTATGAAGCAGGTTTCTGTTCCCCTTTCACTACAGAGATAATTCAAGAAATCCCACTTACTGCTCTTGCACCAGTATTTCAGCTCTGTCACTTGGTTTTATCTCATTTTGCCTGTCAGAGAGTCATTGTACTGGACTCCCAGACATTGTGATGCTATCTTCAAACAGGGCAGCAGAACATTTTGGAAAAGCAGAGCTATTCAGAGGTCATGCAGTTAGTGCAGTCAGAATATACCCCTAATTAAACCAGGAACGTGTTCCACTGCACTCCAAAAAATAATGGGAGAAGCGACCCAAGGAGGAAAGGTATCCAAGTGCAAATCAGAGGAGAGACAAAGCAACATGGCTTTTACACACAGGGTCTCTGGACCAGGCAGGCCTCAGAGACAGAAAGAGTGGCAAGCTGAACAGCACTCACGGTTATTGCAGCAGCCTCCATGATGAAAGCTGCTGCTTCTGAGCTCAGGCCAGAATTTCACTGTTGATTTCCAGGAGGGTTTTTTAAAGTTTGCTCTAATTGTCAGTTTTCAAATGGGAGGAAAAAAGTCAAGTGGTATCTTTTCATTTCATTATTTGCAATTCCCTCTTAAAGCTTGAAAAGGCAGACGTGAAACACACCACGTGACAATATTTGCATTTTTGCTGCAAAGGCCCCATTCCCAGAACTGCACCCACATTACCATCTACGATGCCTTTGACCGACAGGAAAGTAAACACTTCATTACCAAAGTTGGCTCCTTGCAAGAAAGGGGACACGGAAGAGGAGTGCAAATGAAAAGGCACATCAAAAGAAGTATTTTTATTCCCTACTTTTCCCTCGACACATGCTATTCATTTATGACACGTGGAACATCTGACTTCAAACCACAGAGTTAAGGTAAGTACATTTGGGGGAATTCAATTCCTCCGTGCTGTCTTAACAGAAGCACTATTTCCACTGACTGGAGAAGTAGAGAGTTATCGGGATTGTCATCTCCTCTGATGGAAGAAAAAGATGGTGCCTTTAAACATCCCTTTGGATAGCTGGCACACATGCACGCACACACTCACCAGACTGGAAACTACCAGGAGCCTCAGGGTTAATGTCTAAATCTTGCAGCTATGCCTAATCCCATGCAAGAGTTACTGGCTCTGAATCCATAACCAGCCCAGAGAGAGAGGAGAGGAGTCAACCTGCCTCTGGGCTCAACTGGATGCTCCTCTCTTTCTCCTGACTCAGCAGTGTACTAATTTCTTTCAGCTGGTCTTAAACCTAAACAGAGGATGTGATGGAGCTCAGGTCCAGCTTGATGAGTGTGTGCCACGAGGGAGTAGGGAGGGGGAGAGCGAGCTCTGCACTCTCTCCTGCCTCTTGCCTGCTGTCGGTCACAATGCAGCGCCGCCAGGGAGCACAGTCAATCTCCCCTGCTAGCCCCCAAGGGCGACAGATGGTCCAAAGCTGTGGGAAGTCCATGCCATATTCCTCTAAAGACTGCCGAAAGCAGCATTGCTGCAGACATCCCCCCAGGAGCCCAAAGGAGGTCAGGGAGAATGAGACACCCATTGCCTTCCTCTCCCCCTCTGCCTGGGCTGCAGCCAGGCCCTCCATAAATGCCAGGGGGAATAAAGAGGAAATGCTCAGTACTCCTCTAAGTTACACATGTGTTTCTGTTCAGCATTTAGCGAGACACAGGAGCTTAGTT